CAGCAATGAACTAGTGGACATGTCGAGGAACTGGTAGACAGCAATGAACTAGTGGACATGTCATGTAGACAGCAATGAACTAGTGGACGTCGAGGAACTGGTGGTAACAGCAATAGCAGCAATGAACTAGTGGACATGTCGAGGAACTGGTAGCAGCAATGAACTAGTGGACATGTCGAGGAACTGGTAGCAGCAATGAACTAGTGGACATGTCGAGGAACTGGTAGCAGCAATGCATTAGTGGATGTGTCAAGGGACTAATAGACACAGCAAGAAACTGGTATACAAAGAAAGAAACTAGTAGGCTTAACAGGGAACTTGACATGGCAAGGAACTAGTAGACACAGCAATAACTCATAAGAAAACAGGAACTAACAAACAAACAAACTTTATTTCAAAAGGGTTAACAATTGGGCATTCAGGCCCATCTTCAGCCCTTCAAAGCATTGGATTTATCAAGCATATTATGTTAAAATATCAAAATTCGTTGAATAAATGTAAATTAGAAAAAACAGTCATGGATGACAAATGCATACCTTCGAATATACATGCAAAAATACTCACACATCGCAGACACACACAAACACACACACATATCACCCTTGCACATCCAAAGGTGCACACATTGATGACACACACACAACATAAACAGACGTAAACACAATGACAGACACAACATATATACAGAGACCCAGCCACATACATTAAGAACATATAGGGGACCCAGGACACTGAAATAAACTAGAGGACATGGCAAGGAACTAGAGGACACGGTAAGGGACTTGAGGGTATGGTATGAGACTAGATGACATGGTAAATGTCTAGAGGGCATTGTATGGGACTAGAGGGCATTGTATGGGACTAGAGGGCATTGTATGGGACTAGAGGGCATGGCAAGGAACTAAAGGACATAGCAAGGAACTAAAGGACATAGCAAGGAACTAAAGGACATAGCAATGGACTAGAGGACATGGCAAGGGACTAGAGGACATAGCAAGGGACTGGAGGACATGACAAGTGATTAGAGGACATGGCAAGGGACTAAAGGACATGGCAAGGGACTAGAGGACATGGCAAGGGACTAGAGGACATGGCAAGGGGCTAGAGGACATGGTACAGAACTAGAGGACATGGCAAGGGACTAGAGGACATGGCAAGGGACTAGAGGACATGGCAAGGGGCTAGAGGACATGGTACAGGACTAGAGGACATGGTACAGAACTAGAGGACATGGCAAGGGACTGAAGGACATGGTAAGGGACTAGAAGACATGGCAAGGGACTAGAGGACATGGTAATGAACGAAGTAGACTTTCATGTTAGATAGTGAAAAAATATCAAGCAAGCAAAAAGTTTAACCAGTCAGCTTGACATAATCACAACATAAACGACAAGAGAACATTGTGGGTAGACAGCTATCATCAGCTCGTGACATAAATTAACACAAATACATAAAATCACTAAACTGACATATTCTTGATAGAAGTCACATTGCTGCCTGGCCAGTGAAATGATGGACACACGCGGCACTAGGTGGCCTGACAACGCTCAAACTGTGCTGAATGTAAAGTCCCTTAGGCTAAATCATGCCCATTAGAAAAGTAATACAATTCTCGGGAGACCTATGGACTCTGTCACTGCATTGGCTAGATTGGATGGCTGAAACCTCCAACTTCAACGTTGTGGACACCCTTATGATCCTGAACATATGTGATAGGTAATGTTTTCATCTTTCCTGTAGGACGAGAGAAAGTTCGATTCTCAAGGCTACAACAAAGATTTGGTTGAGCAGCTTGAGCGGGATATTGTGTTGAGAAACCCAAATGTTCGATGGTAGGATTTTGTCATTGTTTTTTTTCATAAGATCCAACTTTGTTTCTGTCATCACTGTTTCTGTCACGCGATCAGTCATAGTTTTTTGTCACTAGATCTGTAATTGTTTCTGTCATGGGATCTGTCATAACTGTTTTTGTCAGATCTGTCATTGTTTCTTTCATGAGATCTGTCAGTTTCTTCATGAGATCTTTCATTGTTTCTGTCACGAGATCTGTCATCATTGTTTCTGTCACAAGATCTATCATCATTGTTTCTGACACAAGATCTGTCAGTGTTTCTGTCATTAAATCTGTCACTGCTTCTATTACAGGATCTGTATTCAGTGTTTCTATCCCACCATCTGTCATTGTTTCTTTCATGAGATATGTCATTGTTTATGTCACAAGGTCTGTCACAAGATCAGTCATTGTTTGTGTCACAAAATTAATTGTTTCTGTCACAAGATCTGTCAACGTTTCTGTCACAAGCTCTGTCACCATTGCTTCTATCACAAGACCTGTCATCATTGTTTCTGTCACAAGATCTGTCATCACTCTTTCTGTCACAAGGTCTATCATCACTGTTTCTGTCACAAGGTATATCATCACTGTTTCTGTCACAAGGTCTGTCATCACTCTTTCTGTCTATCATCATGTGTTTGTCACAAGATCTGTCATCACTGCTTCTGTCACAAGATCTGTTATCACTCTTTCTGTCACAAGGTCTATCATTTCTGTTTCTGTCTATCATCACTGTTTCTGTCACAAGATCTATCATCACTGTTTCTGTCTATCATCATGTGTTTGTCACAAGATCTGTCATCACTGTTTCTGTCACAAGATCTGTCATCACTGTTTCTGTCTATCACTCTTTCTGTCTATCATCACTGTTTCTGTCTATCATCACTGTTTCTGTCACAAGATCTGTCATCACTGTTTATGTCACAAGATCTGTCATCACTGTTTCTGTCACATGATCTGCCATCACACGTTTCTGTCTATTATGACTGTTTCTGTCACAAGATCTGTAATGTCTTCATGCAGCATATGTGTTTATCCCTGATAGCATGTTTGTGTCATAATATAGCACTTGAGAGAATGCATATTTTGTGAGTTGTCATGACAACATTTTACTGTAGTCACTTGTAGATACTCCTACAGTCTGTGCGCTGTCAGTTGATAGAATCACAAATTTGTTCACAGCATACCCTAAATGTGATAGTTGATAGAATCACAGATTTGTTGACAGCACAGCCTGAACGCTGATAGAATCACAGATTTGTTGACAGCACAGCCTGAACGCTGATAGTTGATAGAATCACAGATTTGTTGACAGCGCAGCCTGAACGCTGATAGTTGATAGAATCACAGATTTAATGACAGCACAGCCTGAAAACAGATAATGGACATCACAGCCTGTACGCTGATAGTAGGTAGAATCACAGATTTGTTAATACCAGAACCTATTGTTTGCTATGGTTATCTCACCATTTTTTATTTCAACTTACAACTACAGCTAGTCCACGGGCACAGCTAGTCCACAGACACAGCTAGTCCACAGACACAACTAGTCCACAGACACAACTAGTCCACAGACACAACTAGTCCACAGACACAACTAGTCCACAGACACAACTAGTCCACAGACACAGCTAGTCCACAGACACAACTAGTCCACAGACACAGCTAGTCCACACACACAGCTAGTCCACACACACAACTAGTCCAGACACAGCTAGTCCACAGACACAACTAGTCCACAGACACAACTAGTCCACAGACACAGCTAGTCCACAGACACAGCTAGTCCACAGACACAGCTAGTCCACAGACACAGCTAGTCCACAGACACAGCTAGTCCACAGACACAGCTAGTCCACAGACACAACTAGTCCACACACACAACTAGCCCACAGACACAGCTTATCTAAAAATCTAATCATCCTAAAATCTGCCGTACCACTTTTATTTGTCTCTATCCATCTTTCTTCTTCCATTTCTGCATTCTGCCATGGTTTGTAATTTGTTCAGTTTCTTGTGTGTAATCTACTTCAAATGTCATGCACTAAAAACCTGTGCTTATGCATCTCAGCAACAGTATGTTTCACATAAACAATCTTGTCTGCCTAAATCCACCCAGGGAAGTCAGCAACAATATATTTCACATAAACAATCTTGTCTGCCTAAATCCACCCAGGGAAGTCAGCAACAATATATTTCACATAAACAATCTTGTCTGCCTAAATCCACCCAGGGAAGTCAGCAACAATATATTTCACATAAACAATCTTGTCTGCCTAACTCCACCCAGGGAAGACATTGCAAGTCTCACAGAAGCCAAGGAGTTGCTGAAAGAAGCATTGGTGCTGCCCCTCATTGTTCCAGATTTCTTCAAGGGTATTCGACGACCTTGGAAGGTTTGTTGGTTCTTAGAAATATTCCCTGACTTGACTGTATGTCAGTTGATGTTCCCTGACTTGACAGTATGGCTGTTGATGTTCCCTGACTTGACAGTATGGCTGTTGATGTTCCCTGACCTGACAGTATGGCTGTGTATAGGCCCTGACCTGACAGTATGGCTGTTCATGTTCCCTGACTTGACTGTATGGTTGTTGATGTTCCCTGACTTGACTGTATGGTTGTTGATGTTCCCTGACTTGACAGTATGGTTGTTGATGTTCCCTGACTTGACTGTATGGTTGTTGATGTTCCCTGACTTGACAGTATGGCTGTTCATGTTCCCTGACTTGACTGTATGACTGTTGATGTTCCCTGACCTGACAGTATGGCTGTTCATGTTCCCTGACTTGACAGTATGGCTGTTGATGTTCCCTGACTTGACGGTATGACTGTTGATGTTTCCTGACCTGACAGTATGGCTGTGTATAGGCCTTAACCTGACAGTATGGCTGTTGATGGACCCTGACTTGACAGTATGGCTGTGTATAGGCCCTAACCTGACAGTATGGCTGATGATGGACCCTGACTTGACAGTATGGCTGTTGATGTTCCCTGACTTGACAGTATGGCTGTTGATGTTCCCTGACTTGACAGTATGGCTGTTGATGTTCCCTGACTTGATGGTATGACTGTTGATGTTTCCTGACCTGACAGTATGGCGGTGTATAGGCCCTAACCTGACAGTATGGCTGTTGATGTTCCCTGACCTGACAGTATGGCTGTGTATAGGCCCTAACCTGACAGTATGGCTGTTGATGTTCCCTGACCTGACAGTATGGCTGTTGATGTTCCCTGACCTGACAGTATGGCTGTTGATGTTCCCTGAACTGACAGTATGGCTGTTGATGTTCCCTGACCTGACAGTATGGCTGTTGATGTTCCCTGAACTGACAGTATGGCTGTTGATGTTCCCTGACCTGACAGTATGGCTGTTGATGTTCCCTGAACTGACAGTATGGCTGTTGATGTTCCCTGACCTGACAGTATGGCTGTTGATGTTCTTTGACCAGACAGTATGGCTGTTGATGTTCCCTGACCTGACAGTATGGCTGTTGATGTTCTTTGACCAGACAGTATGGCTGTTGATGTTCCCTGACCTGACAGTATGGCTGTTGATGTTCCCTGAACAATCAGATCAGTGGTGATCACAACGCGCTCAGAGCTGAAATAATGCTCCTGAGAGAAGAAAACATGTCACTGAGAAGGGTCATTGAAACTCTACAACGTGGGCCAGTTTCTGACCTGGCAACACAAACAGAGACTCCCAGTACGGTTGGATCATCAGTAGTTCCTCAGCGAAAATCTACAAGAGAGTGATCTTGAAAAACAAAAAATTGAACAAGCTGTAGAAAACCTCTATCCAATCGATGTTCAAATTTCAAACAGATTCGATGCGTTGCTGGAGCGGTCAGAAAACAGGCAGTCTGTCGATGCAGTACCAACACCCATCGAACAGGCACAAGAAACATCCTGTGATCTGCAGACTGATAGTCATCAATAGAAGAAGCAGGGTGCAAGACGTTCTAGTTACCAACAGGAACCAGCAATAAGATCTGACTGCACACATTTTATAATTGGTGACTTTCTAATGAAAGGTGTGTACAGTTCCAGAATGTCCACATCAGACAGTGAAGTTGTTTCTATCCTTTCACTACCAGGTGCAGGAGTCGATAGACTAACAGACAGAATACGCAAACTGAATTCAAACAACAACATCAACAAAACCACCATACACATAGGTATAAATGACACTATGAATAACAATCCTATAACGGCTTCTCGGTTACAGATATTACTGGATATACTGCGTAACAAATTTGTAAACACATGTGTTCGATTCTCGTCAATAATTCCCCCAAAGTTTGGTCCCCAACGTAGTCTGGCTGACACCAACAACAAGGTGTTAGATAAATTCTGTGCCCAGAAAAACATAGATTTTATCAACAATACGCCATTCTTCACGGCCCAGTCAGGTGCACCGAAGAAACTCCTCTGCAAGGATCAGATTCACACCTCTACATTGGGAACGAGCATTCTCGCGAAGAATATCAAGTATCCCCAAAGAACACAGTGCATTCTTAACAGTGAAGTGCGTAATTCTTGATGTGACTCCCGCACCAGACAAAACAAGCCAGGCATCCCAACTACACACTCGTCCATACCCGACAGAAGACTGTCAACAACCCCACGAGCACACCCACTAACACATGGGAACCGGGCACACCATTTCACACCCATCTCAGCACAGGAGAGAGATAACTACAAGGAGTTGTTTCCTCCTCTTCCCAACAGGGAACCGCCCACCATCGGCACAACGCTGCTGCTACGGCAGAATGATTTCACCGGTCAAGGACATGAGTCCTCGTCTGAAAACATACACACACCGGAGAAACTGTTTCCTTCTAACTGGAACTCCGAACTATTACACCTTATGCGCTTCAGCCCAAATGCACTCAGGCAAGTGCTTACGATGTCGATGTCTCTACAGTACAGACTAGCAGGATACAAGACCTGTAAAATAACTGTTCACAGAATCTCAGCAGAAAAGAGTTTTCATTTGACGCTTATTTCATTGCGTTAGTATTGTGTTGTCCACTCGACCAGCAGTGGGTTGCACAAATTTGACTTGTGTCGCCTTTTTGTCTCACCCTGAACTTGATCCAAGTCTGTTTTTATTGATGTATTGATATAATTCTGTTATTATTTTCCTTGATATATTCTGCTATTTTAGTGTAGCAGAAAACTAAGTGGAAGTGTAGACGAGCTACTGAGCACGTTAGTTGTTCAGTCTTGTATTGTGTTAACTTGTTACTATCTTGTAGTTGTTATACTTGCTTCAAGTTTTCTTTGGAGTGTCTAACAAAGAGGAACGCTGGCTTAGCAAAGCCGATCTCAGGTTAGGTCATCTCAATATTTGCCATCTTATGAGGAAGCTGCCTGAACTGTCCCTTATTCTCAATCAAAATTTCCATATGTTTGGCCTTAGCGAAAGTCGATTAATTGTTAACATTTCAGATGAAGACATATTTATTAAAGGCTTTACAGTTTTTTAGAAGAGATGCGCGTGTGAAACAAGAGACGGGTATAGCGGTCTACATAAGTAATTCCCTTAATGTTCACCGTAGGCAGGACTTAGAGACTAGTGAGGTAGAATGTATCTTTTTAGAAGTTAAACTAAAAAATCACAAACCCATCATGGTTGGTTACGTCTGTGGAAACCCTAGCGCTGGGGCTATGTGGTATGACAACTTCACCACCATGATGGATCCATTGTTTACCAGTTCCAATGAAATCAGACTTTTATGAGATTTTAATATTGATGCTCAAAAATCAAACAAAACATGGGAAGATATAATTGCATCATATAATCTCCAACAATTAGTCGAGCAGTCTACTAGAGTAACAAACTCTTCCTCAACCATTATAGATCACATATATGTAACATGCCCAGAAAACACCATAGAATGCAAGGTCCCCAACTGTACAATGAGCGATCATTTTCCAACTTGCATTACGTTGGATAAAAGAGGCACAAAAATCCCAAAGCATAAACATATTAGCATAAAATTTAGAAGTTATAAAAATTTCAGTCAAAATGCATTCTTAAAAGATTTACTCGGTTCCTCCCTGAACCATGTTTATCAACTTCCTGATCTAGATGAAGCCCTGGAGTATTGGTTGAAGACCTTCCTTGGGTTGTTTGATAAACATGTACCAATGAAGGAAGTCCGAGTAAAGCTTACTTACTTACTTTACTTTTTCCTTCCACGTATGCCGCTAAGCGTTGTGGGGAGATGCAAGTTCCTGTCGTAAGCAAGGCGGGCAGCATCTGATGTTCTGAGGCCATGCTTTTGGCAGGTTTCGGAGACCCCGTCAATCCACCGTTTCCTTGGTCTTCCTCTTGCCTTATATCCTGAGCTTCTTTGGTTGAAAATTTGTGATGTTATTTGATCATTTTTCATCCTGGTTAGATGTCCAAACCATTTCATTCTTTGATGTTCTATGTAGTCTAAACATGGTGTAGTTTTGACAGTGTTTCTAATGTCTATATTCTTTATCCTGTCTAGTCTGGTCTTATTCGCTGCTTTTCTTAGACATTTCATTTCACAGGCTTCTATTTTTCTTTCGTGGGTCTTGTTGATTGTCCATGTCTGGCACTGGTAGCAGAGTGTTGGAATGAAGATGGTGTTTATCAATTGTCTTTTGGTCTTCATGGTTATATCTGGATGTTTAAGCAGAGGTGATAGTTGGTATGTGACAGCATTTGCTTTCTGTATTCCCGAGTAAAGCATCAGAGTAAATCACCATGGATTACCCAGGAAGTAATTGAGATTATAAGAGAGCGAGATAGGGCACATAAAAATAAGGACTTTGTAACATATAGGATTTTGCATAATAAAGTTCAATACTTCATTCGAAAGGAAAAAAAGAATTTCTTTACCAAATTAGTAACAGATAAAACAAACAGTAAAGATATATGGAAGGCAATTAACACCTTGACTAACAGAAACAATTCATCACGCTTGTTATCATCAAATCATGTTACATCAGACGATTTCAGTAACTTCTTTCAAACAGATATAGAGCAATCGAAGGCTTCAATACCACATTATCCATGTGATTTGTCCTTGCTGTCCTCGTTTTGTGAGACTAAATGCTCAAATGACATTCATTCTGACATGCCGCTCATGTCAGTTACTGAAGTATTTACATATCTCATCAGTCTAAAAAACAATAATGCTTCAGGTTTAGATGGAATCAGCAATAGGATCCTTCGATGTGCTGCTTCAGTCGTTTGCGAGTCATTAATTTTTATATATAACAAGTGTCTTGCCAAAGGCTATTTTCCTTCAGCCTTCAAAATTGCCAAAGCATATCCTCATCTTAAATCTGGCTCTTTGGACAGTAGTCTCCCAAGTAGCTATAGACCCATCTCCTTATTATCATCATTATCAAA